GCTTCCCACTGTCAGCCAGGATAGCTCCGAGAGTCACTGACTCCCCAGTTTGTGCCACATGCTGCTCTAAGGAGTCATTTAGTCCGTTTATTATTTAATAGAGATGCAGCTTTTAATGGAGAGGTTTTGACATTTCTGGCAGCAGCTGCAAAGGACAGACTCTGTAATGGTGGCACATGATAGGTGTCCATGAAGGCTACTCCCCGCCTAGCTCTCTCCTGACACTTCCTCTCATGCAAGCTGTGAAAATGACAGGTGATTGCTGAAACATACAGAGCTCTCTAGGATTGGCAGAGGCCTCACTTTGCAGGACAGAATGGGACCCTGTCTGCCTTTGCTTACTGTTGAATGTCAGATGCTCAGGGTGAGAGGCAACCAACCATACTGGGTTGAGTTGTGTCCCCTCAAATTCATGCCCATCTGGAACCAGTGAAGATGGTCCTATTTGGAAATAGTATCTTTGCTGATGTAATTAAAGTAAAATGAGGTCAAACTAGATTACAGTGGGCTCCAATCCAAAAACTAGTATTTTTTTTCTTTTAAGAAGGAAATTTAGACACAGAGGAGTTCACCGTGTGAAGACAGAAACACAGAGGAGTGGAGGCCATAGGGATGTGAAGGCAGTGATTGCAGTGGTGTAGCTGTCAGCTAAGGAACTCCAAGGACTGCCAGTAATGACCAGAAGCCAGGACAAAGCAAAGAGTTTCCTCCCCTAGAGACTTCAGAGACTCCGGAGGAAGCCTGGCTCTACCAATACCTTGATTTTAGACTTCTGACCTCCAGGACTGGGAGAGAATAGATTTCTGTTGTTCAAAGCCACCCATTTGGTGGTGCTTTGTTATGGCAGTCTTAGGAAACACTAAGGATTTAATGGGCACCTACTGTGTGCAGTGTTTTTGGAAGAACACGGGATGCTGGGAAACAGGCATTATGATTGGCCAGCTGGGCTGGCAGGAACTAACTCAGCTGTATTTAAAAAGCCATTCAGAGGTGGCTGCTATTTGCTGAGTTGACAGAGAAGCATCAGACTTCTGAAAGTTTTCAATAGAGATCCCCTCACCGAGGCCACATGCTGAGCCCATAATCCCACTCCAGAAGCTGTGGCTTTATCCTGAGCATGACCCGAGAAATAAAATTGCTCGGCTCTCCCAGGTGGCCAGAGTCATGGAACACAGGACCTAGAGGCAAGCCACAGAGGAGAGGGAGAATACTTGTGCACTGTGTGGTACTCCACGTGTCACAGCATCATGCCTGGCATGGAAGTCAGTGGTCAGCACCAGAGCTGGAGGCTTGGCTGAGCTGTAGTTGACAGGCCTGCTGACCACTCACCAATGGCCTGCCACCTCCTGTTAGTAGCTAGTCCTGGGTAGGGGGTCCCTCTGTGACCCATCCATTGTATAACTCCTTCAGGCACATATAGGATTTCACAGTCTACATAGCCCCTTCCCAGGGCCTAGGGTAGGTCTCTTCACTTGGCACTGTGGGGCAAGGGGACGTCACACAGCCGAATTGGACTGGACCCCTGGTTCTTCTGTGTCCATGGAGTCTGGTCGCTGCTTCACAGGATGCTGTGGACTGTGTGAGAACCCAAGAGCCGGTCCCTGCTGCTCTTCCACTGGCCTCTCAGTCAGCTTCCTCCATCTGCAAGGCCTTAGAATGCTGAGCGGGGAAGGGTTTGGAGTGATCAGAGTTTGCAGTGAGTGGGACTGTCCAGAGTCTGATGCTGAAAGCTTAGCCACTTGAAGAGGCTCTTAGTGTTGACATGCCTGTTCCAGGCAGTCACTCACCCACTCAAAACCAGCAGCAGTGGGCAGCGCCTGCTGTCCAGTCAGGGCTACCATCTGGGGACATGTTGGTAGCTCTGTTGTCCTTTTCTCTTTTCCAGATGGTAAGCTAGAGAATTGAGCATGACTTTCCATGTCAGCCTGACACCATGTGTCAAATCCACCCTACAGAGTGTTGACACAATGCCCAGGTGGCCACTGGACAGTAAGGCCACAAGGCCCCAGAGAGCAGCTGGACTGTGCTGTCTCATCTGGGTTTGGCGTAAGGGCTCGAGCCTCAGGGCAGTCTACCGAGCACACAGGGGTGAACCGAGTTCCAGACACGTTGCACTGACGTGGTCACAGGACATTGGAGCTGAACGGGTGGGTGCTCTCCAGTGGCACTCACGACACAGGTCTGGCCAGGACAGGCCTTAGGGACTTTCCAGGAGAACTGGTCTGAGTTCATGGCTTCCGGAGAGAAACAACGCTGGGAGGAAGGGAGTAAGAGGGCCCCAGCCATCGACAGCACATCCTGTCCATGGGCTCACAACAGGCTTCAAAACAAACAAATGTCACTGTCCCAAATTAAACCTTCCAGTTTCCCGTCCATGGCGAACTCTCAGCTGCAGCCTTTTGGGCTGAGAAGACCTTCTCAGAATAGCCCAACTGCTTGTCCTCAGGAGCGGAGATTCCAATTCAATCTCAGCTACAAGATCCAGGCCCAAATTGTGGGGGAAGAGAGGTTATTTTCTGCCCCTGCATGAGGTCCTGCCCCTGGCTCCCTGGGAACCTGTCTCTAGTTCTCCAGTGTGAGTCAGTTTGTAGAGCTGTCTGCTTCAGAATCCCTGGGTCTCAGGGATAAACAGCATCTCAGAACCTGAGCTCTGGAGGAGTGTGAGGGTCAGGATGGGTTTCTGTGTGGACGATGGGCAGGGTCATCTGATGTCAGAACTGAAAGGGCCTCAGGACCTGTCCAAGCCTAGTCCAATCGCCCCTGTGGAGAGATGGGAAGTAAGGTCTGGAGAGAGGACCTCTTTCTACACAGGTCTCGGCTGAGCAGTTACTGGTCCAATGACCCCCACTGGGTGTGGGTGTCTAGCCCTTCTGCCTCAGTTTACACAGTGGGAAAGAATAACCAGAATCCTCCCTTTCCCCTTGCTCTACTAAGAAGCAGCCTGGGCAGAGCCTCGGCCCTTTAAGGTCAGTTTCCCTGGTTGAGTCTGTTGTTTTAAAGGCCAGTCCCACACTACCACCTGGACCCCTGTCATCTCCCAACAGCCCAAGCACAGAAACGAACATTACTAACAAATGCTGAGATGAGTCACAGACACAGGCTTTATTGGATGCTGAGATATTATTGATTGGTAGGTCACAGACCTGAAGTGAAAAATAAGCCACAACTGGAGCATCAACGTCTAGGGAAACACACAAATCTTTGCTGCGATGTCCAGAGGGCTCCAGGCACGGAGGAGGTGGGCTCACAGTGGAGGAAGTCACATCAGAGCAGCAAGCCAGGTTCCATCAGTGATCCCAGCAAGAGCACCAGCTCCTCTGCCCACTCTCTGCTCCTAAGTCAGGCAACCCCAAGCAGGTGTGAGGGCAGGGAGCCAGCATCAAGGTTCAGAGAGGGTGGGGCGGGGAAAGAATTGAGGGAGAGCTGGGGTCACCTCTCCGAGGCAGACCTGGCCCCATCGCCTCAACACTGTAGGCCTTCCTCTGCTGTCTGCAAGGGGTCCAGGGCCTGGGGCTGAGTGGTTGGGCTAGCATGAAGGCCTGTTGGTGAAAGGGATGGGGGAGCTGGGACTAGAGCTGTCCTGGAGGCAGCTCAGAGCCCTGGGGAGGAAGGGGACCCTCTGAGCCTGGGTAAGGCACAGGAGGAAGTCAGCTCTCTGTCCTGGAACCACCAGTTTCCCCTCTCTTTGGCACAGAAGGAAGGGAGGCCATTCAGGTCAGGCAGCTGGTGAGGGACGCGGTCAGGTGCAGGACAGAGCAGACGGGTCCTGGCATAGGGAACTGGACACTGATGGCAGAAACCATCCCATACCATCAACCAGGGGCTCCCTCAGGGCCCTTCTTCTTGGTGCCTGTCAGGAAAGGGTCTGGGGTCCTTGTCTCAACCCCTCCAATGCCTCTGCCAGAATGACAGGGCCAAGGAACAACTGGTTGCATTTCATTAAAACAACTGTTTCATTAAAAATGCTCTGAACATGAAGAATATATCCCGAAAAAAAGGCATCCTGAAATTCTTTGTTCCACTAAACAGAATTCATTCACTGAGAATTTCCTGAGCACTACCTGGTGCTCAGGCCTACGTGCTGAGCTCTGGGGGTTGGGAGAAGTCTAAGGCACTGGTCCTACCCTGGCACTTGACTCCTTTTCCCTGGGAAGGCAGCTCCACCAGTGAAAGGCTGTTGACAAGTCCAGATTCTGAGGATAGTGAAGGCCTCGGGGAAGAAGCCTGAGCACATCAGGCCCCGCTAGGAGTAGGAGGTGGTTCTGACTGGAAGCCTACTCCAAGCCCCAGGCCCAGGTAGAGCTCTGGGGGATGCTATGACCCACTTTGCTGGGAGTTGTATGACACATGTTGGCTTTGTGTCCCGAAGCCTTTCCTGGGAAAGGAAGAGGGAGGAAGACCTGGGCCTTGCAGGGCCTTCCATACCCTGGAGAGGCAGGGATGGCCCCAACTTCTCCTCTTAGAGCTGGTAAATGGGGGAGGTTCAGGACAGGGTCCTGTCAGAGCACCCTGACAGCTGGGCTCTCCCACTCAGTGTCCCTTTGCTAAGGATACATCCAGAGCCTGCAGGCCCCTGGCAGCCATGCTGAGCAGAGATCCAAAGTGGCTTTGCTTGGGGACCCCCTGCCCTAGGCCAGCCAGGCTATTCCTCCTGTGATGAGATTGGCAGAGCCAGAGGACGTGAGGTTTCCTTGCCCTGTGTGACACCTCCCTGGGGCCCCCACATCTCGCTGTCTTTAGGGTTGGGCTCCTGATTGGCAAGGCCTCCCCTCACTCTCCCCTGTCCATGTCCACAGGGATTGAGACAATTTGGTCTCCAATTCTTAAGGTGACCTCCACTCTCTGCAGCCCGCAGGGGTTCCCCTTTGACTACAGAAACCAGGAGAAAGGGGAATAATGCAGCTCTGGGTCCTGTGACCCTTGGGAAAAGAGGTCCTGGTGCACAGGCCCAGTCTCCCTCCCTCTCACACACATATCCACAGGAAGGTTTGCGGGCCAACATGGGAAAGGGGTCAGAAGAGACTGGGGGTGGCCTGAGAGGGCATGTCATGGTCCCGGATGTACTGCAAGATGTCCATCTCATCCATGGCTTGGATCTGCTGCTGTGGCTTCTGCTGCCCGGCCACGGCTTCAGATGGGCCTACTTTGAGGGGAACAGCTGGTTTTTTGGGTAGTGCTGGCTTAGCTGCCACGGGTGGCTTGGACTTAGGCTGGGACTTGGGTTTGGGCTCAGCCCCCAGGTTCAGAATCTGATCCAAGTCCTCTTCAACTCTAGAGAAACAAAGTGAGAAGCCCTGAGCAAAACCACCCTCCCTCCACAACAGAAGCAAGAACCCCAGGGCAATGCCACTCTCCACATGGGCAGTGCCCAGCCTGAGCCAGGCCAAGGCCCCGCCCTGCCCTGCCCTGCCCATCCTGCCCTAGAAGACACTGAAGGGCAGGGCTCTCCTTCCCTCCAATCCCACAGCACAATGGTGGGGCCCCACTTGCAGCCTCCAAAGAGTTGCTCTTCAGGTGACCCCACTCTGAACCCACTGGCTTCTCTAGGAGACTTTCCCTCCAGCTCTTTTAGAAATAACCACCAGCTTAGCTGGGCATGGTGGCGTGTGCCTGGAGTTCCAGCTACTTGGAAGACTGAGGCAGAGGGATCACCTGAGCCCAGCAGGTCGAGACTGCGGTGACCAGCAGTGGACCACTGCCCTCCAGCCTGGGTGACAGAGTGAGACTCCAACTCAAAAAAAAAAAAAAGAAATGACCACCAGTTACTTTGTACAGAGTTCCTGCTTGGAGACAGGCAACTTAGGCATATTATCTAATTTTATTCTCAAAACACCATTCTGGGAGGTATAACTGTGTTTCCACTTTACAGATGAGGAAGCTAGAGTCCCAGGAGACCGAGTGACCCCAAGAAGATAGCAAGTGGCAGTCCTGAGTTGGAAGGACGCAGGATGTCGGCCCTCAGAAGCTGAGCCCTCATCCAAACCGCGTTCAACCAGAGAACAAACAGGGGTGCTAAGTCAAGGTGGCATGGGTCTGCCCTCCACAGTGCTCCTCAGTGGGCCACATGGGTGCTACACAGAGCCCAGAGAAGGTTGGAGAAGGCCTCGGCCAGGATGGTCAAGCATTTCCACATTCATTAACTCACTTAATATTAAATCTCTAAATATTGTCTGGTAGCAGAGATTAGCTCCATTTTACAGATGTAAACACCAAGGTGAAGAGAGGCAAAGGGCCTTGCCCTGGGCCATACAGCTAGTGTGAGGACAGATAGGACTTGGCTCACGCATGGCTGGCTCTCTTGGGGTATGCTTGCCTCCCTGGGCACGGAGGCTCCAGCGTCAGGGTGGGGTTTCTCCTTGTGTCTAATGGGTATCTCCACGTGCAACCTCTGGCCATGCTGGGGTCAGGTGAGGGAGGGCATAGGCATCAAAGGCAGAAGACCTGGGGTGGTCACTTGGCCTCTCCAGGCTTCCATTCCTTATTTACAAATGTGCATGACAATGTCACCTGGCAGGTGACACAGAACTGTGCACAGAAGCACAGCAATGCTGCTTCCGTTCCTCACCCTGCGATTTCATTGGTGGCCTCAGGCCACTCCATCTTCCCTGTCCTCAGTCTTCCTATCGGCAAAATGGGACTCTACTTGCTCACCAGCCTCACAGAGATTCTTACAAGGATCACAAGACAACACACGGAAAGCACTTTCCAAATGTAAGGGAATACTGCATACACTGATTTCTATGGACAGCCATGGTGTGAGCAAAACATGCTTCAATATAGAGGAGCAGTGCTTCAATCCTCAGTGGCAGGCGCCCCAGCCTAGCTGGTCACACAGGATCCACACAACTGCAAGGACTGGAGAAGATGTTACTGAGATCTGGAGAATGGAGTGACCCTGTGGGGCCAGAGAAGGCTAGGAAGGTTTCCTGGGAAACGGTCTTTAAGATGGGTGAGGCTGGCATCAAAAGGGGACATAAGGAGAGAATTCCAGAGAAGAGAGCAGCAGAGAACAAAGGTATGGCAGTGGGAATGAGAACTGGCAGTAGGAACCAGGCAGGCTAGAGACCAGGGGCTTCCTGGCCTGGGCAGTGTATCCCAATGACAGTGGGAACAAGAGGGTTGGCCTGGCTCAGACATCAGCAGGGCTGGGTATGTGCAGGAATGGAGAAGAGGCGCCCTTGGTCAGAGCAACTCCTGGCACTTCAAGGCCTGGCAGAGGCCTGAGTGAGTGGGGAGGTGCCCAGCGCAGCCTCCCCAAAGGGGCTGCCTGCCAAGGACCAGCTATGGAAGGAGCTCCAGCTTGCCTTGCCTGCTTCCTGGGCCGACCTCCTGTGATGGGGCAGAACCCAGAGAGAAAGAACTCAGTTTGCTTGGCAGAGAAGTGAATGAAAGGTGACCCAAGCCAGGCCATCATAGAGAGAGCAGCTGCTGGGAGTCAGGGTGATTCTGAGAGGCATCCCCCACGGCCAGGTTGCTGCTGGCAACCTCAGTTCAGAGGTGCTTCGGCTCCCTCCATGGCAGCTCGTCCTCCACTCCCTTGAGGCAGGTGCTTGCTTCCCTTGCATCCTCCACTGGAGGTTGAGGGTGCCCAGGAAAAGAACAAAAGGACTGAAGGATGCTCAAATGAGGTCCTTAGGAAAATAAAGCAGCAGCTAAAAGCTTATGTCAGATTTCGGGATTATCCTGCTTGGCAAAGCAATGACTCTTTGGCACTGATCAGCAACTGGATTTGCTCCCAGGTGGAGGGGTGTGTGTGGGGGCCAGCCATGGTGGGAGGTGCTGTAGCTGCTCTCAGGACTCAGATGGCTGCACAGGCACCCCCTTTCCAAGCACCCTGTTTCCACTGGGCTCCCTGAGTCATGGCTAGGAACAAGTCTCAGCACAAGGTCTAGCTCCCTCTCTTAGGTCCAGCTGGTGTGAGATCAACCAGCGTGGGGCAAAGGAGCTCTGAAGACCCCAGACCCACTCTTCCTCATGTCCCTGCAGAGCAGAGGACTTTGCTAAAGATCAAAACTGGAGGCTGGCCCTGGTGTGGTCGCACAGCAGGAGGTAACGGAGGCCTCTCAGACTCCCAATCCGGCTCAGTGTACCACCCCAGGCTGGTTCGGGATGACTGCAGCTGAGGGTAGTGATAGAATGAATGGAAGGTTGAAAGCACAGATGAATGAATAACTCTTGGACATTCTTTGTTATGAGGAAGCCCGATTACTGCCTGGACAGTCACAGGGCAGACACAAAGAATGAAATGTGGTTCCTGCTCTCAAGAAGCTAATCCTAGTGCTACAGCTCTTTTAGAATCTGCCTAAATTTTGTTTTCTTAAAAGAAGCTAATCCTTTCATTAAGCAGATGTCTGCTAGTGTGAAGGTGGGGGTGCTAGGACCCATACTCTTTGAACTGGCATCCCCAAAGAACACTGCGGGATGCTAAGAGGTATCACAGAGGGCAGGTCCCAGGGACCAATAAGCATGTGAAGTGCTTCGTGGTGTCTGTCATGCCCCGTAGGCTGCTGAAGTACTGCCTAACATGGGCATTTCCCCAACTCATCTGGCCACGGGACCCCTTTGAGAGTGGCCCTTTAAACAGCCCACTGTACCATGTTTATGGTAGCGAAGTAATAGATTTAGAATAAACTAGGCCAGAAAGGTTCCATGAGAGCTGCTCTACTGGGACACATGGACTCCTGTATGTGCCCAGCTTGGCCTACTGAGTTCGAGGAGGACTCCAGTACTCAACTTCTCTGTGTCTTGGTTTCCCTCCTAGTAAAACAGCACCAATCCTGGTTCCTCCCAGCCTGCTGTGATGTCAGGAGCGAGGACACAGGATGGAAATGAACAGATGCCAGGGGCTTTGGGGAGATGTAAACACAAGAAGCCATCGCCATGACTCAGGATTGGCAGGCACTTGGAGGGCTGTCTAATAGCCTGAGACTGCTAACGAGGGTGCAGATGACAGCCTTCAGGGACCACGTGCCTCACATGTCTCCATGCCACGTAAGTGGTTCCTGGAAAGAGGCGGCCTGACTTCCCCTAAATCTGTGAGCACAGTCCCAATACCCTGGGAGGTGGATGAGAAGACAGAGGCACGCACGCACAAAGCCCACTGAGAATATGGCTGGTGGAGGCAGAGGCCTGGGGAAAATTGGGAGGATCGGGGAAGGAGGAGGCGGATGGCCCAGTGGCGTGCTCTGGGTGTCCCCTATGGAGTGGAGAGGCCAGGACAGGAGCAGGCAAGTGGCTTCACCCACACTCAATTTTCTGTAAAATGGAGAAAACAGCACCTACCTGAAGGGCCGTTTGAGGATTAAATAAGATAACGCAAAAGGGGTCAGGCCTACACAGCAATTGCTCAGGAAATAGGAGCTGTACAAGTTCTGTCAATTGACCTCCATTGGCTGATTGACCAGATGAGTCCTGGCTTCCTGTCCTTCTGTAAAACCTGCTGATGGGACCCCTCAGTGTGCTCTGCTCCCCCAGGTGGGTTGCATGCCGAGTCAGTTTTATTTGTTCCCAAACCCACTCATGCTAGTTACACCTGTTTTTGCAATTATATAATTTAATTACTCTTCATATAAACTGTTCAAATATGAGTGTGGAAAGGAAAAACCTGGCTGGACAAACAGAGTTCTCTCTTTGTGGAACTGGCTGAGTAGCCCTGGGCTTCTAATCCTCCCCCTGAACCCCCATCACTGCCCCTTAGCCAATTTGCACCTAGGGACTCCTGCCTTTGACAGGTCTGGGGTATTCCCCTTGGAGGCTGAGGCTAGGGAAACACCCCACATAGGTTGGGCCCCTGGCTCCATCCAGGCCACTCTCAGAGTTTGCAAAGTGCTGCTGGGGAGAGGAAGTACCTGAACAGCTCCTCGGAGGAGTCTCTGCGGCCTGGGCTGGACATGGGTCCTCCAGGCTCACAGGCAGCTGGCAGCAGCAAGGAGTCACCCAGGGGGACAGCCCCACCAAGGTCAGGATCGTCAAACAGCTTCAGGGCTGCAGGGAAGGCAGCAGCAGTGCAGTCAGAGGACATCATGGCTTGTCGGCGCAGCCTCGCCCTCCCGGCACCTGAGCCAGAGTTGGCCAATGGCATCACTCATGTCTCAAGTCCTTGTGGGCTTCCTATTGCTCTTAGGAAACCACAGGCTCTCGTGCTCCCTGCGCCAGGCTCCTCAGGATCCAGTCCAGCTGGAGCTCCTGGCTTGCCCCCATTGCAGCACCACCCTTCAACAAGAACTTAGGGAGTGCTACCCACCGGCCAGGATGGCAGGATGCCACAGTGAGCAGTGTTCTGCCCACAGTCACTGTTTCCAGGGATCCTGGGTCTCCCTTCATCCTATCCCACCCAAACTGCTCAAGGCCACCCTTTGAGAATGCTGATGGTAGTAGCCTTTTTATCTGGGATGTACTGCTTAAGTAGGCCTGGTAAACTCCACTGGCCTCCCAGGATCCAGTGTAAGCAAAGCCCCAATGCCCAACCAGGACATATTCCTATGAGTGCCACAGGAACTGATGTTCTGCTCAGCCTATTAAAGACTCGTGCTAGCCCGCAATTGTCAGGCCACATCCTGTCCCCACACAAAGCCCTATGCATGGGGACTGGGTCTTATTCCTCAGTGTGTTCTCGGGCCTGGCCCTCAGTGTTGGCTGAATTAGTGGACGACAATGACTCCCCTCCCCCAGAGGAAGACTTGGGCAAGCATGAGGAAAGGAACCCAGGGACAAGTGGAGCTATCCCAAGGCTGTCAGCTTGGCTTTCCCTCTGCCAGCTCTGCACAGAGCCCTCTAGAGGAGTCTGCATGGGTGTCACAAATCTCTTGTTAGAATCAACACCTATGGGCTAGGCATAGTAGCTGACATATGTAATCCCAGCATTTTGGGAGGCCACACAGGAGGATTGCTTGAGACCAGGAGTTCAAGACCAGCCTGGGCAACATAGTGAGACCTTGTCTCTATAAAGTCAAAAAATTAGCAGGGCATGGTGGTGAATACCTGTAGTCCCAGCTACTTGGGAGGCTGAGCAGGAGGATGACCTGAGCTAGAAGGTTGAGGCTGTGGTGAGTCATGACTGCACCAATGAACTCCATCCTGGGCAACAGAGTGAGACTCTGACTCAAAAATAAAAACAAACCAAAAACAATACCACCCCCTAAACACACCTACAGAGTTGCTCGCATACTCCAGGCAGCCAGCATCTACCTTCAACCCAAAAAGTGTCTGAAGGCCTCAGGGCCCACATCTGGCCACAGATATAATGAAGGCACTTCTCAAAACAACAAAGAAAACTGTACTTCTCTTCTATGAGATGTGGAGAATAAAAAAACAGCTTGGGAATGTTACAGGCTGTAGGGACACACCAACCAGGTGTGAGGCTTGTTTTCTCCAGCAGAAAACTTCCATAAGCTGAGTCTGAATCACCTCTACACAGGACAGGGGAAGACATGTGTCCTATTAGTGTATGGTGGGTCCAGAGCCCACTTGGTGGCAAGAGGCTGGTCACTGAGAGGACACCAGGAGCAAAGGAAACACACCCTGAGATTCTACTTACGGTCCATGGGGGATGCATCCTTCGTGGGGCCCTGGGGAGAAAGCCTCCTGCCTGGGCTAAAGAGCCCCTCATCAGGGTCCACCTCCTCATCAAAGATGGTGAGCCGGGGCGAGGGCTTGGGTTTCACGGACACTTTGGGGTGTTTCTTGGGCTTCTTGGAGCTGGATAATCACAGAAAAAACACAAGGTGAGGAAGAGCAGGCCAGAAGGAAACCAGGGAAGGCCTGGAGTGGCCCACCCGGAGCAGTCCACATGGGCAGAACAACTGAAGCTGTTCTTAAATCTCTAACAGGTGGTCACATGGCAAAGGGAAGAACCAGTCCTCCCTCCCCAGGGTAGAAAACCAGGCAGGAAAAGGGAGTTAAGAGCAGGTATTTTCCCGATGACCTGACAATGGAGTGGTAAGACTCCTGCCACTGCAAGTGGCTGTGCACTGTGCTCGGGCTGCTGTGAAGAAGACCAGGTGGCTGCCTGGACTGGACCCCGGCTGCCAGACAAGCACAGCCTTCAGGGTCATAGGCTTTGGGCTCTGAAGGTGGAGGTGGCCACCTGATCTCAGCACTGGGGGCCAGGCTTAGAGAACCACACCCCATACCCACTTGGACATGGTCTGAAGCCATACGCCTCAGGCTGGGTCTGGGAGAGCAGAAAGCAGCCATGGAGAGTGCTCTGTTTCCCTACACACAGCCCCCTTCCCTTGAGTGGTGAAACCACAATAGTTCTAGCAAACACTTGGGTTCCATGGAACAGCCCCCATCAAGCCCCTCGGGGACTCAGAGCCCCACTCGGCTCTCTTACCCCAGTTCCTGTAATGCTCACTTGTCAACTGGCAGAGAAGGTCCTGCTCTGGCTGGGAAACCAGGAAGGGGCATGAGGGAGGCTTCTAGGGCGTGGGAGTGCTTTATTTTTTGATCTAGGGGGTGGTTACTCAGTGAACATGCAAACATTCATGGAGCTGAATGCTCACGACCTGTGCACGTCAACTGTAAGTGATACTGTCCATAAATAAACAAACTTCTATTAAGCTGGCCCAATCCCTGCCGCCCATGCCTACCCTAGCCATTTTAAGGTTCCTGAAAGTAAAGAGAATATGCTCTTTACGGGAAACTGGAATCCCATGTGCCTGCCTGCCAGGCGGGCAGTTCCACAGGGATGAGGTCACTGTGTGAGGTCACCATCCAAGCTCACGTTGGCAACACTATGTGGCAAAACTGTGCTGAGAGGCTGGCTCAGCCCTAAACAATGATAGAGATTAACCAGTGGCAGATAAAAATAGCAGGGTGGCCTTGGGTGCTGGAGGGCAGGGCCCTCCAAGCAGACCATTCCCATAGCCTGGACTTTCAGGTTTGGCAGAATCCCAAGTGCTGACCTCCAGCCACAGTTGGGGTGGAAGAAGCTACGAAGGCTGGGAAGGCACTCTGCTGGAAGGCCATAGGACAGAGCACCCATCAGGGCCCAGTCTGGGAGGGAGGATGCCTGGAGAGCTCATTTGCCAGATGAGGAAACAGTGGTTCAGAGAAGTTGAATGTCTGTCCAAGGCCACATAGCAGGCAAGGGACAGGCAGGCGGTCATACTCACGGTCCTATCCTCTTGTCCCCTGAAAAAGTTCCATGAGCAGTAAGGTAGGATGGGATGGGTGGGGATAGCAGGACTGATCCTGCTATTCTCTGGGGGAGAAAGTGGCACATCACAGAGGAGGTGATGAATAGCAGAGATGGAGTGGCAGGGACTGGGTCAGGATGGTCCATCTGCCTGGTCCCTGCACTTTTCCCATCCTAGCACAGGACACCAGGGACCCAGGGCCTCTGCTCTGTACCACCCTTGGGACCTGCCCAGGGCACTGGGGTGAGGGGTGGGAGCCTGGATTCTGCACCCTAATGGTGTCAGCTTGGGCTCCTCGCCACCTTTTTTCACACTTGGTGAAGTCAGGGCTCACCTGTTCTTACTCCAATGTTTCCCCTTTGTTCTCCTGGCTCAGCTCAGAACCCCTGGGGTGTGGGTCCTAAGTGGAGGCCATGGCCACCAGGGGGGAGGTCTGTGGAAATGGCACCAGCCCAGACCCATTGAGTCAGAAGACCTGGGCAGACCCAGGAGGCTTAGTAGAATTCATTACCAGTCAGGTTTGGAAGGTGCTGTGTTGCCATGACATCTCTTCCCTTGCTTCCCCATCACAGCTGCCCTTCACTTGGCCCTTGCTCCCGGATCTGGCAGAGCCTGCAGCAGTGAGGGGTGCAGAACTGCCCCCACTGCACCCCCACCAGGCAGCGGTTCCCAGGGAGGGTAGGCTGAGGCCACTCTATGGCCTCCACCAGCAGCAGCATCACACCCCACCCCCTGCCTTGCTCAGATACAAGCTGGCTCTGCCTGCTCATGGGGACCAAACTCACATCCTACCCAGCCGCAGGCCCCACCAGGCAGGCGAGCGAGAGGCTTCCCACTGACCAGAAATCAGAGGAAGCACAGTGAGAAGCGTCTGAAGAACAAAGGGAGAAAAAGTACATGATGAAGCTTTTCTGGAGATGCCAGGCAGCCTCAGCGATCACCCTTCTCCCACCTACATCTGGTCCTGACAGCCCAAACTAGGTCTCACTTTCCTTCTGTGTGAGTTTTCTTCTCCAACTGGATTGATGTTCTGGTTTTCTCCCTAGAGACATTTCTGACCTTTTGTTGTCTTGAACTGAAATAAAGTAGATCTACAGGATGTGGGGGTCGCTTGGAAGGGCATGGCTTGTCCTCTACCCCTACCCACCCATGAGAAAACCATGGTTTATCCTGGCCAACCTCTCTGTCTCCCCAACTCTCTGGGCCTATCTCAAGGGGAGACAAAGAGCAAGCAGGAACCGTGGAGCTTTGGTGTCTAAAAGCCCCAGGATCCTGTTCTGGCTAGCAGTGAAATTTCTGGCTCTGGAGACTTAGGAGTGTGCTTGGTGCAGAGCAGATACTCGATAAATACTGGATGAAAGAATGGGCCATGGACAGATGGATGGAGGAGGAAGGGTAGACAGCTGGATGACAGGCAGGCAGGCAGGCAGAGTGGCAGCACATCTCCAACTCAGACTTATTTTTTCTATTCCTCCAGGGAAATGGGGAAAGGGACTGAAGAGAGGCCCCCAGCACTGGCCTCAGACAGTGCCCTATGTGGAAAGCCCCCATTCCATTATCCCTCCTCCAAAGACCTCTCGTCAACCCCCCTGGTCTCTCTGCCAGCCCCTTGGCCACACTGTGAGCAGCTCATCCCTTCTCTCTTGAATGACTTCCACGACCAGTCCTCACTGAGCTCCTCTCACCAGCAAGAACCTGTGCTGGGGACCAGGGCACAGAGATGAGTAAGACCCTCCACTGTCCCCAGAGGGTCAAAGACACAGAAACCAGTCATTTCTACACAGGCGGTTCTATTCTGTTGCAGAAGGGCACAGAGGCAGGAGCTCACCCAGGCTGAAGGCTCAGGGAGGGCTTCCTGGAGGAAGTGATGTCGAGGCAGGCAGTGAACCCTGTGGACTAAGGATGGAAAAGCACCCCAGGCAGAAGAACTGCAAGTCACTCTGTGAGGGCCTGCAGGGAGTGTGGCTCAGGCACCACTGGAACCCAGATGCCTCTGGGTGATGAGGGACCCCTCAGGTTTGCAGTAGGAACAGGACCACAGGGGATGGGCCAAGATGGGTCCCCTGTGGAAGCTCTGCTCATGGTTCACAGAAGCGACCAGGGCCTGGACTGCAGAGCAATGGTCAGGTGAGGTGTACAGGGGGACAGGCCAGGGAGAACTTCAAAAAGGAAATCTGTGATGAATTTGGGATCAGCTGGTGGTATTATCTAGGATGACACTGGAGCTCTGATCTCAGTGACAGGGTCAGTATACCATTTGAGGTGAGTCACTCTGCCTCTGAGCTGTTTCCTCACCTTGCTCATAGCACTAACGCCTCAGAGCTGTCATAAGCATGGAGGGAGGTCACATATCCACGTTGTCACCCCCGTGCCCCCTCTGTTCCCCTATTCTCGCCCCTCCCCACCTGGTGCTCCTCCTCCTCTTTCCTCACTCCTCCAGCTGTAGACAGGTACATTGCCTAGTCCCGTGGCACCTGCCCGCTGGTCTACCCTTTGCACTGACAGGAGACAAAATCCCTCACTGAAGTAATGAAGGATACCCTCTTCTTCCTCATCAGAAGGAAGGCTACAAAAATTAGACTCTTGTCACCAGGGATGGGGCAAAGAGGGCATCAAACAGAGAGGTCTACCATGAAAGGAACTGCAGCTCTTGCTTCCTGGTGAGCATGGGGTCATCTGAACTTGGGTGGGTCATGAGGGCTGCAAAGAAGATGAGTCCAGCCCAGCACAGGTTGCGTGAAGTGGGTGGGGAAGGTCCTGGACAGGTGTGTGTAGGCATGTTTGTGCCACATGCCCACATGTGCACGACAGATACCAGTGCTCCTGTGGTGTGTGCCTGACAGAAGACAGACGCACAGACAAGGCCGCGTTCTGCAGGTAGGCGTGCAGCCCACGGGTGGGAGGCAGCAGCTGCTGTGCTGACAGCTCCAAAGCTCTGACAGGCTGAGCAGCAGCCCTGCTCCCTGTGGCTCAGGCAGTTCTGGTGACAGTGATTGACACATGAGAGCATCCACCTCTCTGGCCACCCAGGGGCCGATGGCACCGTTCCCGGATGTGCCTACCCATGTGGCAGACCACCGATGGGCACCAATTGCCCAGGACCCGAGCACATGTGCATTGCAGATGCTCCCCCTGCCACAGCCATCTAAACTGGGTCTGAACAGACGACAGGTCCTTCCACAGCTGAGACACACAGACAGGACCGTTATCTTCAAAGCCAGGGAGATGCTTAACTAAATATGGAAATCAACCTGCTTTCCAATGGTGGACCTTTCCTGCTTTACAATATAGTACTTTTCATATTTTAATCTTAAATTCAGTTGTTTGGTTGTTTTTTTCAATTAGAGAAAATTCTCAGAGGGCCAATAAGTGAACTTCTGAAATTCAGGGCAATGTTATTTGCAGCTATGAAGGGGCTTCCTTGGAGAAGCAATCATAAGAATGTGAGTTACCCGGGGACAGGCATTCACCCTGAGGGTCCAGGACAGCCTCACTGTACAGGGATTTCAGAGGAGGACTGAATAGAAAGATGAGCAGTCTTGAAAGCTGTGCTCCAAG